ATAGTATCTCCGACCTCAAATGTTTGTCCAGCTCTCTTCCAGGGGTTGGGCTTTTCCCCCAGAGGCGTGGCGGAGAGGATTGACGTGTTCATCAATGCGCTCTCCTACGGAGTGGGTACACAGCCGCCCGCCCGCTGTGTCTGAAAATCCCGCCGTCTCATCCGGATCTTATCACAGACTTTGGCAATCTATTTTATACTTTTAATACGAAACTCGCAAACAAATTGTAAATTTTTCAGGCATCAACAGAAGCAGGCGCAGCAGCCGCAGCAGCAGCACCAGCAGAGCAGCAGCAATGAAAGGGGAGGACGGTGGATGCGCTCATGTCTCGAAAATTATCCAAGATTAGAGCTATGGAGCAGTGATAGCTCGGTTTGAGATAATATTTTATTCGACAATATTGTACGCGGCATAGCGGCGGCATCTTCCGAGATCTGGTGATAGACAGTTACGGGAGAAGAGATAAACGACGTCAGCTTTTTGAGCAGAGAGTGGGATTCGCACGGATCCAGCCGCCTGAAGATCCAGTTAAGATCAGCGCTGTCCCAGCAGATCATGTCACTTCGTTCGCGGACCTCCAAGCATTAGGTTGTTCTCGCCCGGTTGTCATACCCACTACGTATGTAATTGCCAGTGAAAGATCTGGCGAAAATTAAGAAAAACTGTGGTCAATTACTGAAATACAGCGCCGGCACGTGTGCATGAGTGTGTGAGTGTCAGTATCCAGAAGCAGTACCGGAAGCGGCCCATGTGCCAAGCAAGATCGGAATCGAGATCGAGACTCAGTGAAGACTCAGCCGAGCGAAAGCCAATTAATTACGATGGTGCAGGGCGAGAATCCCCACAGTGCCGAGCCGGAGGAGGAGGAGCACGAGCTGGAGAGCAACTCGACAGATTCGCCACGCGACCGGGCGAACGATGAGGCTGATGTGGAGGCCAGGCTCCTGGACAACGGCACGAATCACAGCAAGGCCAAAGTGCCTGTTGGCGAGGACGAAGAGGCCAGGACGACTCCAAAACCGTCGAAAACCAAGAAGAAGAAACAGAAATCGGAACAGGACCGCCTCATGACCGAGGAGATTAACCGACTGCTGAACGAGACGCCGCTGGAGAAGAGTGTGACCTGCGGTTTCTGGATATTCAAGGGACAGTTCTATCAGCGGTGGGTGGATCTATGTACACTCCTTGGGGTATTCCCTGTTCATACTCTTTTTCTATCAGATTTGCCAATCAGACAGCGTATGTGCTCCTCTACGGCATCGTCGGGTGCGTCTTCTCAATGACGTACGCCTACTTCAATGGCACGATCACCACCATCGAAAAGCGCTTTAAGATCCCCTCGAAGAACACCGGCATCATTTCGGTGGGCAATGACATCAGCCAGACCCTGGTATCCGCCGTCCTAGCATACTATGCGGGCAAGGGACATCGGCCTCGCTGGATAGGATTCGGTAAGAGCAGCATTCCGATGGATTTCTATCGATTCCATTACAGCTTATCGGCTACTCCCCCAGGTCTCCTCACCATTGTCCTGTTCTGCGTGCTGACCACCACACCACACTTCCTGTACGGCCCTGGCGAGGACGCCCTGGCCCTTACATCGGAGTTCGGAGGCATGCCCGATGAGAACGCAACTATGGAGGCCATCGAGGAGCAGCGCTCGAAGACGCTCTGTCGCCTGAATGGCGGCGGCCCCGAGTGCGAGGGTGGCGAGGGAAACTTTGCCCCCCAACTGCTGCTCTTTGTGGCCCAGTTCATATCCGGTATCGGCGGTTCCCTGTACTATACCCTCGGTGTCTCCTACATGGACGACAACACGAAGAAGTCCAAAACTCCGGCGCTGCTGAGTAAGTACAAAAAAAACCGGTTTAAACCGAGTCGACACCAGTCCATAAAAAACCTCAGGCAGGCCAAGTGGTTAATCAGCTCAGTATCTCAGTATCTCACCTGCCATAATATATTGTGTGCTCTCAGATAAGTGGGGAAAATACTTCGCGGGGGTGTGGTGCGAATTACTTGGTAGTTCTCGATGACCGTTAGACTGCTGATTAAAAATCTGTTTCTTAAATTTTCGGGATCAACTGGGAAGACTTTCTGAAAGAAGACTTTCTCAACTAGAGAATCTCAATCCTAAGTAGATCGATCAGATTTTTTATAAAAAATATGTTGATTTGTGGATATTTCTCCTTTCCATTTATGAATTCTCGGCTATTATTAATATTTTCCAATTCCTCCCAAGGTCTCTCGTATTTCCTTCGCATGCTGGGTCCCGCTATCGGCTATGCCCTGGCCTCCTTCTGTCTGCGGCTGTACATCGCCCCCCAGTTGCATCCGGTGATCAACAACAAGGATCCTCGCTGGCTGGGAGCCTGGTGGCTGGGCTGGCTGGTCATGGGCGGCTTGCTTGCCTTCTCTGGAGTTTTTCTGTCGATGTTTCCCAAGGAGCTGCCGCGAGCGTTGGCCCGTCGCAAGGTTGAGGAGAATCGGAGGCGCGAGAAGGAGAGACTGTCGCTGAAGAATAGGGATTCCTCGGAGAAGGAGAGACTGACCGCCGAATTAGACCAGATGTCCGCCGTCGAGCCGAAAGCCTCGTTCAAGGACATGCTGAAGACCTTCAGGCGCCTGACCACCAACAAGACGTACATGTGCAACACACTGTCGACCATCTTCTACTTGGTCGGTTACACCCCGTACTGGATTTTCACCCCGAAGTACATCGAGGTTCAGTACAGGCAGTCGGCGGCCACATCCTCAATGGTCACTGGCACCGTGGCCCTGGCATTCTCAGCCGTTGGGGTTCTGCTCTCTGGCTTTATCATCTCCCGCTATAAGCCCAGGGCCCGCTATATGGCTGCCTGGAATGTGATATGTGGCTTTCTCACGATGGCAGGCATCCTGGCCTACGCCTTCATCGGATGTCCCGGCAATGAGAGCTCAGTGATAGTCAACATCCACGACAGTGCGCTTAGCGGCAACGCATCCACCTGCAACTCGGCGTGTTCCTGCGACTACGTTCGGTACTCGCCCGTTTGCGGGGAGAATAACATGACCTACATCTCCGCCTGTCACGCGGGCTGCAAGGGTCAACACATCAACTCTGATGGCAGAAAGGTAAGTGGAGGATGCACTCTTGCACCGGGCTAAATTAAACCTGTTCAACCCTTACAGATATTTTACGATTGCTCCTGCATTCCTGGTGATGAATGGGGCAACTCCACCGCTCAGTTCAAACGGATTACAAGCCTCGACCTCAGCCTTGAGAATGCCACACTGGACACCTCGAGTCTCTCCCATTTGGAGGTAGCTACCTTTTTATGCATGTCTCAAAAGCGCGTTTAAATAATGTTCTCTCCCATTCAGAGTCTGGCAAGCGGACAAGCTATGCCCGGATCCTGTCCCGTCAACTGCTGGACGCAATTCGTGTCGTTCCTGGCGGTGATGTGTTGCCTAAAATTCATTGGAGCCAGTGGCAGAGCATCCAATTTCCTGGTATCCGTGCGCTGTGTGCCCGAGAAGGATAAGACGGCTGCCATGGGCTTCGGTATGACCATGTGCTCCATGCTGGCCTTCATTCCCAGCCCCATCTTTTTTGGCTGGGTCTTCGATCGCGTGTGCTTGGTTTGGGGCAAGACCTGCACAAACAAAGGCAACTGCTGGCTTTACGATCCGCTGTCCATGAGGTGAGGATACTCAGCCTCCATTCAAGCAATGGAATGCCTTGAAATGGCAATGAATATTCTATGGTCTTTACAGGTACACACTGAACTTTACCGCTGCCGTGTTCATTGGCATCGGCTCTGTGTTTGATCTGGGAGTCTGGTATTATGCCAAGGACCTGAAAATCTTTGACGAGGAGGTCAAGGAGGTCGAAATGCAGATTGTCCAGCACGAGGAGGAGGCCAACAACGAGAAGAATACAGAGATCTAGGTTTAAGTTTACATTACTCTTAAGAAAAAGCTGTATGAGTGAATATTTTTGGTGTCTATATCAATGTGTGATTTCTCCAAAGAGCCCTGTATAATATTAATAAAGCGTATTTTAACTGGTGATCGATGATTTCTTTAAAATTCAACTCAATTAATGTTGAGTATGAGAATAACTAAAACTATGTAAGTAGGAATTAATATCCTCTAACGTTTATTTATTACACCCGGCACTCAAAGACTATAGGAGTCCTGTGATATCATGTGATATACGAAATAAAGTTGGTTTCCAAATGTTGCAATTTCCCCTAAGGGTATACACGAAGTCAAAGAATTCCCATAAGAATCCCACATATGTAAATGTTGATAGGCAAGCGAAAGAACAATATTAAGCAGCTCCAATTTAAGGAAAAGTTTCCGTTTACTAGTTATTGTCGGATGTAACATCCCAGTGGAACATTCACGAATTCCATTTACTACTTATTGTCGGATGCCCGCTATTGTATAAATGATTAAATTATCAACAATTGGAGTAGCCTCAATATTTGCAGCAGCGACTGTTCCAGCAGACGCAGCTATGTTAACTTGAGGAAGGTCCGATGCTTTCGAATCCAAACAGGTGTACGATAAGCCGTACGATAAGGTTAGCGCCGTAAGTTTTGGCAAAGGCAACAACAAAAATAAAGAGAGCGCGACCGGGCTAGAACAAAGAATATAAACTCTTGTCGTGATACGGTAAAAATTGAAAAGAGTATGACAGAAGTCAAACAATATCAATCTTGGCGTTCTATATTGCTACCCACCACAGAACCGTTTTTGTCTGCGCCTTGTTACATCTAAGTAATTTTACAGTCTTTAGCTAGAATGAGAGCTGCCAACTGATAGTCTGTTGTAGTCTGTTTGAGGAGAGGAAAAACTTGTTGTTGACAAGCGTATTGTATATTGTAAAATTCTGACCAACAAAAATGATATTACCACTTAAGCTGTCTACTATAATTTTGCTATCTGGAAGCTTTTTAATCGCACAGGCAGTCTGCGTCTGAATTGTGGTTCAGTATAAAAGATTAGTTCGACGGGAACGATCGAAATGGCCAGCGAGGAGACAGAAACCTCAGAGTTCCTAAAAGACAGAAGGGGGCCTGAGAAGCAGGAAGAAAACTCGGATACTACGTGTGGTTTCTGGAGGTTCAAAGGTCCCACCCTGCAAAGGTACTCGTGCTCCTCCACTCTTAAAATGTCTAATGTTTTGGCCCACTTACGACTAATTCTCTGAACCAGATTTGCTAGTGAGAATCTATATATGGTTATCTATGGGATTGCTGGCTGCTTTCTAGCAATAGCCTTCTCGTACTTTAATGGAACACTCACCACTCTGGAAAAGCGTTACAAAATACCCACTAAGATAACCGGTATCATTTCGGTGGGAAATGATATAAGCACAGTTTTTTGCTCGGCCTTCCTGGCCTACTACGCCGGCCGAGGACATCGACCGCGTTGGATTGGTTTTGGTAAATGATTCCTTATCCTTTGATGGAAAGAGTTTTATTAACCAAAGATTTCGGAATGGGATTCAGGTCTCATTATTTTGGCGATTTTCTGTCTTCTCATGCTCTCCCCGCAGCTTATCTATGGACCAGGCGAGGATGCCCTGAAGCTGACACGAGAATATGGTGAATCCATCGATCATACTCTTAATGGCACTAAGCGAGATGAAGCCCTTTGCCAGAAGGAGAAGCCCAGTTGTGAGGAGGACCAGGAACCCAGCGACTTCATGCCTATTATGCTGTTCTTTTTGGCGCAGTTTGTCTGTGGCATTGGATGCACCTTGTTCTATACTTTGGGCCTGTCCTACATGGATGACAACTCTAAGAAGTCGAAGACCCCAGCCATGATAAGTAAGTGCTGAAGGTGAAGGTGAACCAATGGAAACCAATTCGCAATTATAAATCTGCCGCCCTTGACAGGTTGGTCGGCTTTCCTGCGAATGCTAGGACCGGCCATCGGATACTCTTTAGCCTCGGTGTGTCTTCGCCTATACATTGATCCTTTCAAGGAGCCGCTGATTACCAATAAGGATCCTCGCTGGCTAGGGGCATGGTGGTTGGGATGGATTCTACTGACCGTAATCCTCTTGATCTCAGCGTTCTTTGTCGGCATGTTTCCCAAGGAGATGCCCAGTGCCAGAGCCAGGCGTATAAAGGCCGGCACCGGGGTGGAATCTCAACTGGGAGAGCGGTCTTTTAAAGACATGGTCCAAACGTTAAAACGACTGGCGGTCAACAAGGTGTACATCTACAAAACAATCGGCTCAAACCTGTACTTTTTCGGGTACATGCCCTACTGGATATTCACCCCCAAGTACATCGAGATCCAGTTCAGACAGAGCGCTGCCATGGCCAACATGGCCACCGGAACCGTTGCATTAGGCTTCTCAGCTGCAGGCATCCTCCTCTCGGGCTATGTGGTGTCAAAGTTTAAGCCCAGTGCCCGGGCCATGGCCGCCTGGAACTGTGTCGTTGACTATCTGACGGTGGCCGGTATCATCTGCTACATAGTCATTGGCTGTGAACCCAGCGATAGGATGAACTCCATGGCCACATTGTCCGCAGGCGACAGCTGCAGTGCCTCCTGTCACTGTGACTACGTGCACTTCGCTCCCGTCTGCAGTCCAGCAAACGAAACATATATATCCCCCTGCCACGCAGGATGCTCGGAGAAGTTGACGGATGACCTAGGACGAGCCTCGTACTCTGGCTGCAAGTGCATTCCCTCCTCCTTAGCCCCTAACCAGACCTTCCCTGATGAGGTGAGGGTTTCTGTCTCATTTTTGTCGATATATGGGGTATATTTCTCTATATTCCAGAACCAATTCGCTTCTGATGGAGTATGTCCCGTTGACTGCTACGACCAGTTCCTTATCTACCTGGCCGTCATGTGTATTTTAAAGTTCGTGGGAGCCACTGGACGATCGACTGATCTACTGCTGGTCCTGCGCTGTGTTCCAGAAGAGGACAAGACCATTGCTCTGGGCATTGGCAGCATGCTCTTCTCCGTGATGAGCTTCATTCCAAGTCCCATAGTGTTTGGCTGGCTCTTGGACAGCTACTGTCTGGTGTGGGGTAAGACCTGCAGCACAAAGGGAAACTGCTGGCTGTACGATACCAGTTCTTTGAGGTGGGTTGATGCTTTTTTGAGAGGACATTGGTTGAGATATTGCATTGATTTCATTTTTGCTCCAGGTACACAATGAATCTCGTGTCCGCCGTGCTCATTTTGATGGGTAGCTTCTGGCACATTGCCGTTTGGTATTATGCCAAAGATATCAAAATTTTCGATGAAGAGGAGTTAAAAGATAATCCACGAAAGGAAGAACTAACTGAGCTGAAAGAAAAACCTATTAAAAGTGATACAAATTAAATAAATACATTATACAAAAATTAAAAAAAAAAAACATCTATGAGAAAAAAACAAAAGCTTTCGTCAAGAGGTTGTTTTACGGGGGGTACTCGTTTATCGTCTTCTGTTTATCACACCAAATGTTTATGATTGTAACCAGCACGATCACGCCAGCATTTCACACAATTCCGAAATCAGCCTTGGCGTCTGCGATAAGAAAGCTCCTCCATCAATTAGATCTTCGTATGATTTATCATCCTCGCCAGATACAGTCAGTTTGACAGTTACTACAAAAGTGCTACCTCGTCTACTGCTGTACTAATCTTGCTGAAAGATAAGATCTATAAGCAAAACGAGATGCAGCGAATTATATGGCTGGCAGATCAGATAAGTTGTAGACATCTAAACTCTTCGAAGCAGAATCAGTTCTTCCGAGCAGCTAGGAGGGTCCAGTTTAGAGCATGGGAGATGATCATAAAGAGGAAACCCCTGAGAGCTTACCCTTTCTATCGACGGGGGAAACGGAAACCTCTTCAGAGAAACGGAGGAACCTACCTGGGGATGCGGATAAAATAGAAGACGTCGTTCAAGATACCGCCTGCGGTTTCTGGCTCTTCAAAGGCCGCTTTATGCAGAGGTAATCCCACGAATATACGAGCATCTCTCTACATATTTTAAGGCTTTATGGATTTTTTGGCGTAACGTAACGCAGATTTGCCACGGAGAAAATGTATGTGATTCTGTACGGCTTGGCTGGCTGTGTGATGACAATGACCTTTGCCTATTTCAATGGAACCATAACGACCTTGGAGAAGCGCTATAAAATACCCACAAAGATCTCCGGTATTATCTCAGTGGGCAACGATATCAGCACCATGTTAACCGCCGCCGTCTTGGGCTACTATGCCGGCAATGGCCATCGACCCCGCTGGATGGGAATAGGTAAGCCGTAACTTTGGGCACCTTTACGTACCTCCTTCTCTCGGTTATCTCTGAATATCTTCCGGATAGGGTTGCTAACAATTGTGGCCTTCTGCCTGCTAACGGGTTCGCTGCACTTCATTTATGGAGCCGGCGAGGATGCCCTAAAGCTAACTCGGGAGTACGGCGGTCAGAGTCAGGCCAACGAAAGTGTGTCCGACCCGCAAGAGAACAAGAAACTTTGCCAGACAAGTGCGTCAGGCTGTATTCAGGATGTGGGCCTGTGGGTGCCGCAGGTCTTTCTGTTTGGGGCACAGCTCATATCAGGAGTGGGCCAGGGCCTCTTCTACACGCTGGGCATAGCCTACTTGGATGACAACGGCACCAAGTCGAAGACTCCAGCCATGCTGAGTGAGTTTCCTAGACTGATTTTCAAGATTTGAGGTGAGGTACACTAATGAGACTTTGGCTTATCTCGCCGCCAGGTCTGTCAACCTTCCTGCGCATGCTGGGTCCCGCCATCGGCTACTCCCTAGCTGCCATCTGCTTGAGGATGTACATAGAACCGACAATGGAGCCGCTGATTGCTAAGGATGATCCCCGCTGGCTGGGAGCCTGGTGGCTGGGATGGCTCGTCCTCTCTGTGATGTCCTTGATTGCTGCCTTGGTCTTGTTCATGTTCCCCAAGGAGCTGCCCAGCGCCAGAAAGCGTCGGATGGATAACAGACAGCCCGACAGCAAAGCTGAAACGGATATCAAAGAACTTTCCTTTGGCGACATGCTAAAGTCGGTTAAGAGACTTGGAGCCAACAAGGTATATGTGAACAACACCCTTGCCTCAATCCTGTACTTCTTCGGGTACATGGCCTACTGGATATTTACTCCCAAGTACATCGAGACCCAGTACAGACAGTCGGCGGCAATGGCCACAATGGCCACGGGAACCGTTGCCCTCGGGTTCTCCGCGGTTGGAGTCCTTCTCTCAGGCTATGTGATCTCCAAGTACAAGCCGAGCGCTCGGGCCATGGCCTCCTGGAATGCCATTGTGGACTTCATGACTGTGGCTGGTATCCTTTGCTACGTGGCCATCGGCTGTGAGGGCAGCGACAGTCTGAACTCCCTGGCCACTCTCTCCGCCGGCAACAGCTGCAGTGCCTCCTGCCACTGCGACTACGTGCACTACGCTCCCGTCTGCACACCGCAGAACGTCACCTACATATCTGCCTGCCACGCAGGATGCTCAGAGAAGGCCAAGGATGACTTAGGACGGACCATTTATACGGGCTGCAAGTGCATGACATCTTTGAACCTAATTTCTGATCCTGAGGTATTCAATATTTTTTTGGAATAATGGCTGAATGTATGCGAGTTTTTCGGTTAATTGCAGACACAATTCGCGCTGGACGGGGTCTGTCCGGTGAACTGCTTCAATCAGTTCCTCATCTTCCTATCCGTGATGTGCTTCCTTAAACTTGTGGGGGCCTCCAGTAAGTCAACAAATCTGCTAATTGCCCTGCGCTGCATCCCGCCGGAGGACAAGACGTTCGCCTTGGGACTGGGCTCCATGGCGGCTTCCTTGCTGGGATTCATTCCAAGCCCCATTTTCTTTGGCTGGCTCATCGACAATTATTGCCTGGTGTGGGGCAAGACTTGCTCCAATAAGGGAAACTGTTGGCTCTACGACACAAAGTCCTTGCGGTAGATATACAAACAGCCTATTAGAATTGTGTCTCATGTGTGTTCCCCCTTAGTTATGCTCTCAATCTCACGGCCGCTTCGTTCATATTTGTGGCGGGCTTTCTCAACATCTCAGTTTGGTATCATGCCAAGAATCTCAAGATATTCGACGAGAACGAAAGGACTGAGAAGAAATCAGCGGATAAAGATTTGGAGCTAGAGGAGTACACACTAACCAAAATAAAGTCCCAAGATAGCAAATAAAATCTTCCTACAGTAAAATAAGAATAGTACGTGTATATTGAAATCAAAAATGTAGACGCTTTGCTTCTCCTGGCACCTGGAAAGCAGTTCTAAATTAACAGCTCCCCTTGGGACAGTCGACTTATCCTTTAGACTTGTTTTTCCGATCACCACCATGGCCGGGGCAGGGAAAAGCTGCCAGCGCTTGTACGAGAAGACTGCCTCAGAGAGGACATGCCCGAGGAACTGCTTCGAGCCTCCGAGCGGACCCTGTCTCGACTACAAGCTGGAGCTGCCCCCCGAAGACTTGGTCGATCCGCAGTTGGAGGTGATACAGGTGACCCTCAAGCCCGACGGCCCACCGCGCAAGGAGATCGACATCCGAGCCGAGTGCAGCCAGAGCTGCAGCAGGAACAAGGACAAGGATGAAGCCTACTGTACCTTATGTGCAGCCCAGGAGCGGAACATACGACCCAACCTGTGCTCGGCCGAGTGCAGGCCGCTCCAGACCATTATGCACCTGAACGAGGTACAGTACCCTTCGGTGTGTTCGGGTTCTCTTTATCGCATGACGCAGTGCCTCGTACTCCGCAGTACACCAAACGACCTCTTCCCAAGCCAACCTACAAGCACAGTGTCATGCTGGACGACAACACTGTGGTCGGGCGCTGCTTCCCAATGCTGTTCCGCCTGCGCCGCCTGAAAAACAAGTGCCTCAGCTGCGGCAGGGATCTCCTCTACAGGCATCCCATAACGGCCAGCAAAAACCTGCTGCTGCTGTCCAACTGCTGCGACGTAGAGGTGTATCCCCATCAAAAGGTCGAGAACATGAACAACGTGCCTGTTGGGATGATAACCGGGCCTAAGCGCATCACCAAGCGGGTGTTAAAAGATAGGTCCGAGTGCCGTATGTTTGCCCTGCCCCCGCCACCCCCTCCTCCAGAGATCGTACCACCAACCTTACCGTCCATAGTGAAGAAGCCAAAGGGTAAAAAAGGAAAAGGGAAAAAGAAAGGTAAAAAGTAGTTCGAAGCACACTGCAGTAATATTATATCAGAATAAATTGAAAAACAAAGATTCTGTTAACATTAACTTAATTTTGGTGGCTAGCACGGAATATTACATGTGCACAAAATAAATTGAATGGAATGAAGCTTTAACTGAAATAAACTTGAGCGAAATAACCAAACTCTTGAGTGAAAGTCAAATCAAAATAATTGAAGCATGAATGAGAATGAAAATAAAAGCTGAGATGTCTTTTGAGACAAAGCTTTTTCGGACAAAAGACTCGCTATTAAAAGCTGTCTATCAGCTTTTAGTGCAAAGCTCTTGCTGCAAGCAGAACCGTATAGCACTTGTACTAAATCGATTTATATGAAGTGATATATGATATATCTAGTGTAAATTTAATTCAAATTCAGTCGCACAAGCATAAATACATAGCGTTATCCTAGACTATAATTTATAATTCAGCTTAATACGTTAATCGAGCAGAGAATATAAAAGAAACGAACGTGAAAGTACCTCATTTGTTCGAGTACCAAACTTTCGTTTTACATACATCTTTTTTTGTTTGAAGACATTTTGCATTCGATTCGATGGATGTGCTGTGGCTAGTTACGAATTACAAATACTTTGATATTGTTGATGCCGTTCGGCCAATTTGTTAATACGATATTTAAAACTTAGAAATCTAACCGATTGAGTTGAGGTCTTTTCTCTTTGCGTGTCGTGTCTGAGTGAGAATTGCTTGACTTGTTATGCTACATATTTAGAATTGTTTATGCATATTATAGGGTCGCTTGGGATAGTTTTTGGAAAACTGTTGGAACACATGGCCACAAAAATGAGCCTGGTTTTGTTTTTCGTTTCTTTTTTCTTTCTATTGTTTTAGTTATATTTACTGAAATAGCTATGGCTACTATCGATATCGTTATCATAATCTTAGCGCTCAAGGCGTCGTATTGCAGTTACACCGATCGATCGTTTTGAGTGATTTCGAATGTCACAACTATAATATTTATACTTCAAGTAGTCGACTATGTTCTATGCTAAGTCCTTTAGTCTATATGCACGTGAATATTCAATTAGTTTAAAAATTAGCTACACATCGTTTTGCTACCGCTATATGAATATATGGATATATGTATATAATGTATTTGTGTATAATTAGAATTAAATAAGCGTCTCTTATACTGTCGTGTGGCTTGCCAAGTGGATCAAATTTAGTTCGGGTTGTGCTAAACTGGACAAGCTTCTGGTGGTTCTGGAAGCGTTTGGTTCCGCCTATGCCGTTTTTGCATCCACGGGAAAGAAGTCTTTGAGTAGGGTGGTGCGACGCTTCTCAGCAATATCCATTTGGTTCTCGAGATCACCCAGGTCCGTTGTTTCGGCCCGCTCTATTTTCCAGGATAGGTTCTCGATTTCAGCCTCCAGTTGCGCCTGAAACACAAATCAAATCAGTAGTAGAATTTTAAGCTTCTGGGAATGGCTTGCAAACACTCACCTGCTGGTATTCGAAGAGATTCTTCCGGGAGCTGCCCTCCATATAGTATGCATACGGGTATGTGTACTGTAGTGTGTATCGGCACTTGGCCAGCAGTGCCGCTGCATTGAACAGATACTGCCAGTCGATCCAGGTGCCGCTGCCGTTCATCACCTTGGAGTTGATGCGCTGGCGCAGCCGGTCGATCGTCTGCTGCTCGAGCTTCATCGACTTGGAGTGGTTCTCCCAGCGCTCGTAATAGTGGAGGTACTTCTTGAGGGCCTCCCGGGCCTGCACGTGCACCGATTCGTTGGCAATGTTGGGGTTGTCCTTATAGCGCGAACACTCGTAGTACTCGGATCCGTGCGACTTCCAATCCCCCAGGCACATCCAGCAGAAGTCGTGCTTGCAGTTGAAGCACTGCATGTGATTGCAGCCGCCGTTCTTCTCGATGCAGATGTGACACTTGGGGCAGTCTTTGGTGTGGGCACTAATGTAGTTGGCCGTCTCGCTGTCGTCAGCGCACTTGGTCAGCCACTTCTTGATGACCTGGCAGTCTGTTGGCGCATGATAGTCCATCCCACACTTGAAGCAGAAGCCCGTGTGGCACTCCTTGCAGATGGCACGTTTGGCGGAGATCTCCGATGATTGCACAATGATCTGGCAGTTGGGTCCCGGGCAAAACCTAAACTCTGGATGAGATTTGACATAGTCCTTGAACGCGAACTGCTGATACTTGTCCCTCATGACGGGACGATTAACCAGGGTCAGGACCAGGTCCTCTGGCACCCGCACATTACACTTCTGGGCCATGCAGCCAATTTGCGTGGAAATGCCCTGGAATATCTGCGTCTCGAAAAAAATGGTCCAGCAGTCCTTACAGAAAGAGTGGCCACATGCCAGGCTGTAGAACTTGTCACCCAACTGCGAGCTGGCGCATACGGGACACATCTGACTCCGGTATTGGGGGACATTCGAGTTGGCAATACTGACCACCGACGAGGACGTCTTGTACCCGCTGCTGCCCAGCTTCACAAGCTGGGCACTGGCCTCAGCCGCCGCCGCACTGGTTGAGGCGGCATCAGTCACCACAGTGGGCGGCTTGATGCGCGCCGTCACCAGCAGGGCGTTAGCATCTTGTCGGTACTTCTCCACCACCACCAGATTGTCCCACTGGTGCTCCAGCAGCAGCACCTTGGCCAGCGAGGGCGTTATCTGCAGTATCGTGTTCAGCTTCTCCACCCGCTCGTTGAGCAGTTTCTCAATATCCTCCACGGTCAGGCACTCGTACTCAAAATACTCGGGATCGGCTCGCTTCGGGTCCAAGCGTTCCACATCACAGTCTTCGCCTGCAAAGGAGAGGGAGGGAGATTGGTTAGTAAATCAGTTTTGTGTTTTCCCCCTGGGATATCTAGTTAAATCAACCCTTAAATGAACAAAAATGTACAGGGATGTGATTGGAATAACAGATGACATTGCTCTGAGAATACCCTACATTCTACGGTGGGACGATGCAACTTTCAATTTGACCAATTGCACCAATTCTAAAAAACGAAACATAGGTATTCGTGGGTAAGCCTGGTGTCTTCATTTGGAGTATGATCTTAGTTCATTTAAAATAAAACTTGAACAACTACGAATGCCGGTGAGGCTTATCAAATTTTGCCAGACCGGAACCACGTCGCAAGCCACTGCCGCAGGAGACAGGTCAAAAGGCAGAGAAGAGACCGGAGTCGCTGGAAGAGGAGGCACAAAGCAGAATGCAACAATGTACTTGAGCACGCACCTGAGAGTTCGAGTGCTTGCTGCGAGTGTGCGTGTTTGTGAGACAGACTTAGGCAGAGAGAGAGAAAGAGACAGAGTCTAAACCTGGCCCCTACAAGAAGAGCGCAAGAGGAAGACTGGGCAATAATGAAGCCAACAACAAACCTCACAGGGGGGCAAGGGCAATCCAACTACTTACGTACGACCGTTTGTACGTTCGCCAGTGTGTACGAGTATTCGTTTCAAGTTCAATTTCATAATTTCGACTTCATGGCCGCAGAGCCAAACGGAACGTAACGAAACGAACATTAGGATAGTGGTTGTGCAGTGGTGGCTATGGGGGCTGGGTGCGGACCCTGGCGAAGGCGAATGTCAAGTGCTGGCCCACCAGCACGGAGAAGGTTAAATGCAAATTCTTAGGCCTAGGCCTTCCCAAAAAGGTGAATAACCAACCCGCATAGCCGCTTAGCCGCACAACAGCACATGCACACACACACACACAGACACACACTTGCAGGGCACACACCGATTTTTGAACACAGATACATTATACACATATACATTGATTCAGCTTCAGTTAAATCGATTTCAGATTGTTGTCATGATGGGAGGAGGGTTTAGACGACGAGTGAAGGACGTGCGACTCACCTGTATTGTAATAATCATAGTCATCTTCGTACTCGCCATCGTTGTCCGATTCCAATTCCATTTCCATGTCCGAGTCCATGTCCATCCCAGGGGCTAGATGGAATTACGTCTGTGTGTGTGACTTACGTTCTGCCTGTATGCGAGAGATTACAAGGCTGTTTTAAACGGGGGTTGCGGGGTTTCTTTTGTAACAGTTGTAAAGGGTGGTGTTAGTAGTTGTTGGTGCCGCCGCTGCCACCGTTATAGGAGGTGGTGGAAGTGGAAGATTTGGTGTTGCGATGCAATTCTCGGACCAAGCTTTGCGGGGTGGCAACCAGAACGTAGAGAAAAGCAATACAAGGCACGGCACGGGAAGTTTTATTTTCGTTTATCCACATGTATACACACACACGCACAGACACACTGGCCCTCACTGACACACTCTCGCATATGCAGTGCTCGCTGCACCGTTGCATTCAAGGTGTCTTAGTTGCAGTTTAAATTCATTTTTATATTAATAGAACACACGTCGCACACACGCAGGCATAAACGGAGCGACAGCGTTGTTTTTGTTTTTCGATTAAAACACAGCTTTTTCGGAGAACATTTTTTGTTTCTTTGTTTCCTTCTTCTTTCGATTCGAGCCAAGCGTTTTGCAGCACTGCAGTGGTAACTGCAGCTATCGATTAAGTATACCTGTTATCGCTGCTGGATTTTGAGGCAATAAGAACTTCTCGCGAACAGCTGATCCATACCTTAATATTCAAATTAACGGAGAGAAATTAAATCGTGCTTATCTGCTTAACATCATAAAATTGTATAGAAAATAAAGCCAAGGGCTGCGTGGCTGACAACAATATATTTCTATTGAAGGCATCTATATATCGATACATCGATATTTACATCAGCAAGTGTTGTAAAAGGTTGGCTGCGACCAAACAGCTGTTTGATTTACCCGGGAAAATTTAAAATTTGAGGAATCGCATTATGCGGCTTTAGCTTCGTTCCCTGTATTGTCGACACGCTTCTTTTCCGCTTTACCCTCATCAGTTTCTTTAATTTTCTCATCTTCACACAGATACTCCATTAAATGGCCCAAGCTGGGCAAAAACGTGTCGGGAACCATCATCAGTTTTTTTTCATTGCCTTCCATTTTTAGTTGCTGCGCTTCCTCGAGAGAGCCCGCTCCCGAGCCCACTAAAAGTGATTTGAACCCGCAGTTATTGGCAAAGATGATATCCGAACTTAATCTTACAGAGAAAATAATCGAATTATTAAAATCAATCAATCACTCAAATTGCATCACTTACCGATCCCCAATGACGAGGGTCTTCTCCGGCTTGAGGACTCCGGACTGCCTCAGCTTATACACCATTTGAGGATTGGGCTTGCCCATGATGAGGGGCTTCCGGTTGCTGCTTTTTTCAATGGCAGCCACCATAGCCGCGGCACCCACAGTCACACGCTTTTCGCACACCGGGTAGATGGTATCCATGCAAGTCCCCAGAAACATAACCTTGGGGTTGAGCAGATAGGTGCAGGCCACGACGATCTTGGACACGTTGAAGCTCTTGTCTCTGCCGACCACCACAGCTCCCACATCCGGATCGACTATTAAATTCCGGGCAAATGGCCCCATCTTATGTTCTTCTGCCTCCTGATCTATGGTAACGGATTGGATGCCAGCCTTCTGGAGCTCTTCTTGGATTCCTGTCTCGCCCACGACTAGAACTTTCTTTTTGAACTTTTTGACCACCAGATAGTTGGATATGCATGCCGCTGAGGTGAGAATTTCCTGTTCCCCTACTTTGAGACCGAGACACATGGCCTTCTGCGCCATATCGCTGGCTACCATACTGGAATCGTTGGTCACTAAGAAGCAGCGCTTCCCCTTGTTCCTAGTGGCATTGAAGGTTTCCACAGATCCTTTGATGGGGTCGTCAAAGTTCCACAGTACTCCGTCTGTCCCAAAGAGTACGGTCTCAATGGAGCCCAGCCACTGGAGCACCTCCTGCTTTGGTATTTCGGCTAGGAGGGTGCAGCTTCGCTTAAACATTGCTCTGAGATCAGTAATTTAGAGGGTCTTGAACGAAAAATTTGGCACTATACTAAAAAAACAATGTCAAAAGTAAAAAGAGCAGAAAATATCTTAGCAGTTAAGCATACGGATATAATTAGAAAACTACAATGAGAATACTAGATTCAATGTTTTCGATGTTGTTTTCACTTCAAAATTTGTTCACTTTATTATAACTAAGCATATGAGGATATCTGCCATTGATTTTCTAATTTTGATAATACGAATAGGTAGGTTTTTCACCTTATTCTGCTCTGACTGTACTTTGCTGAGTTTGGTGATAGTTCAGACGTGATTAAATAAAAACTTTCTCGATATACTTATCTAAACTACAACACCACGAGATCGCATTTTGCAAATTGCTTGTGCTATTCATGAAAATGCAAAAATTCCAGTGATAAGTCACCACACGTTCCCTATATATCCAGAGCATGCGTTCTCCGAGGCGGCAGTCCAGCCAGCATTAGCTTTTATGACTCCAAACGTGACAGACGCGATTCAGAAGATAACAGTGCCTCGGAGGTGTTTGCACATATGAAATCAGCATTTTGGGGAGTGAGTGATAGTGAGTGGTATGGGCATCTGCAATTACATTTTGGCACACTTTGCGGTACACAAACACAAGAATTGGAAAACCCTTTGGGGTGAATTGAAACCACTCCCCTGTAAGAATACAAGTTCTACCGTAGGGACCAGCAAGAATCCGCCCTTCCCCAACTTGGAAGACATCATGAGAGAAACGTGTGATGTACATAAAGATAGAACTGGCCAACAGAGATAATATTGCACTCATAAAGATGGAAATAAAATTTAAATTTAGCCGTACATTGTCCCCAGTAGAGTACATAGGTAATCTCTCCCTTACGAGCCAGGAAGACTATATAAAATCCAGTCATTAGCTAGATATCACGTTAGTTGTCCACATTTCACAATCCAAATCACACTTGGAAGATGCGCGTCCATCAAATACAGATGGTCCTTGCTGTTCTGGCCCTGTCTGGGGCAGTCCAAGTCCAAGGTGGGGTCCAAGAAGTCCACAACGTGTATGAACTCTCAGGGCAGATCGCGCACAAGGCCAGATTCTCCACAGACGTGGCCGAAGACAAGTACACGCCCCCGGAGGAGATGGATCCGCAGTTCTGGTACGACCTGGCCAACGAGGAGATCAACAAGCGCCTTGCGCTGCCGAAACTCGACACGAAAATGGCCAAGAATGTGATCATGTTCCTGGGAGACGGCATGCCTTTGACCACAGTGACGGCGGCAAGGATCCTGAAGGGTCAGCGCCAGGGCAAGACCGGCGAGGAGTCGTCGCTGAGCTTCGAGAAGTTCCCACATACGGGTCTTAGTCGGGTGAGTACCAGGTTCTGTCCACATCGTTCACAGCTTTAACAGAACACACTTTAGACCTACTGCTCCAATGCCCAAGTGCCCGATTCCGCCTGCACGGCCACTGCCTATCTATGTGGCGTCAAAACCAATATAATCAACATCGGAGTCAGCGCCGCCGTAAACTTTAACAACTGCACAGCGAGTCAGGATCCAGCTAACCGCCTAACCTCCATTGCGGAGTGGGCTCAGAACGCTGGCAAGGCCACAGGCATTGTTACCACCACCACCCTGACGCATGCCAGTCCCTCGGGCGCCTACGCCAAGACCGCTAACCGCATGTGGGAGTGCGATACGGACGTGACCAACTATGGAGTGGATGCCAGCTCCTGCATCGACATGGCCACCCAACTGGTGACCCAGACTCCCGGCAAGAACTTCGACATCATGTTCGGCGGCGGCATGGGCAAGTTCCTGCCCAAAACTATCCAGGATAGCCACGGCAAGGCCGGCGAACGCTCGGATGGCGTGAATCTCCTCTCCAAGTGGCAGAGTCAGCACAAGGGTGGTGTCCTGGTGAGCAATCGCAAGCAGCTGTTGAGTGTCAACGTCTCGGCGGTAGGAAATATCATCGGCCTGTTCCAGTCCCAGCTGATGAAGTTCCATATCGACGCCGATGAGACATATCAACCCACTTTGTCCGAGCTCACCGAAGTGACTATCAAGAAGTTGAGCCAGAATGAGAATGGCTACTTTGCCTTCATCGAAGGTAAGAGATCGAGACAGTACCTCTAGTAACCGAGAGGAGAGACTCATATTCTTCTTTCTTACAGGCGGACTCATTGACTACGGCAATCACTATACCCAGGCAGGCTATGCGCTAGACGAGGCCTTGGAGTTCGAGAAGGCCATTCAGCTGGCCCGCGACATCACAGACATAGAAGATACCCTTATTGTGGTAACCGCTGATCATGGACACGCGGTGAGCATTGCCGGCTATCCAGGACGCGGCACCGACATCCTGGGCATCAACCGACATGACACAGATATCAATGGAGTGCAGTACTCTGTGCTGAACTATGCGGCTGGTCCCAACCAATATCTGGATGAGAACGGTCAGCGTATACCTCTAGACGGTATTTTGGGAGACGTTGACTCTATAGCCCCCAGCTACATTCCCAAGGATCAGGGCGTTCACTCTGGCGAGGATGTCGGTATCTGGGCCTCCGGTCCGCAGAGCTATCTCTTTACCGGTGTGATGCAACAAAGCACAATTCCACATCTCATGGCATATGCATCCTGCATTGGCAATGGCCAGAAGTTCTGCGACAAGACTGCATAAGGAATCCAACACCTAAAAATAAATACTTACAAAAAAATGAGCATTCAAGAAGCAAATATTACACTTTTTATTCAAACGATGGGGATGGGAAGCTTCGATAGTTGAAAGCAAAAAACCCAGATTCAGCATGTCGAGTGTTCCAGCCCGATATAAGTCATTAAATAATATTAGCTAATTAAATATTAAATAACAGCCAGTGGTGCAGAGTAACACAGGCTAACACTGATGGCTTCGACTTCGTTTTTTTCTGATCCTAAAAAGTTGAGAAAACGTGCGGGAACGTTGCGTGAAGTGCCGCAGCTCTACAAAAATAACCGATACTCAGTCAGTTTGTGTTATATCTTGTGTTGATATCTCGCTCCCCTCCGCCAACGCACGCACGCTGCACGAGGAAGAGTGCGTGTGAGAGAGAGAGAGAGAGAACGAATGATTAAGAGCGTGGCTGGGAGTAACAAAGCCACTACAGTTGAATTTTTTCATTCTGACTATAAGAATGGTCCGATCTATGATTCTTCGCTTTTTTTCTTTTGGGTGTTAATAGATACATACTGCATGGATAGCTTAAGATCAAATTTTTCGTTCTATAAAGATGACGGATCCTTCGAGATGGACGTGTACATCTTTGTTTCTCATACATAGCTCTTTGATTAGACTTATCTTGAGATGGGTATAATTGTCATAGTAATGTATGCGTGCAAATTTCTTTACCACCTGTGGTAGCTCACCTTGGGTTCTGTGGTACGGGCCCCCCTTATTAATATTTTAATGCCGAGCGACTCGACCCGAATTTAGCTCATTTATCTCCTACACACGATTGGTCCACAGATACTCGGACTGGTAGCGAAGACATCCGAACAGACCTTCTAAGCTCCCCCATAACCATAAACACCCAAGTCTACAAGAATTAAGAAAAGACCGTCTCATAAAAGGGGAATTTGCTTGAGATCTGCAGACTTTTGGATTATGTGATGAAGATATGGCAGACCCGATAAGGAAGAGACCTGGCTGTCTGCCCGAATATATAGGTCTGCTGGCACACAACATGTATAGTCCAATTACTTTGTCGAAGCGATAGCCATCATCTGCCTAGAATGAAAATATTCATCAAAGTCCTGCTGGTGCTGAGTAGCCTAGTGGCCACGTCCTGGGCTCTCTCCATAGACAGTAAGTAAAGGAGGTGTCAGAGTGGGGCAAGTGCTGAAGACGAATCTCCGTTGCAGTGTCCGAGATCCACAACCAGGAGCAGCTGTTGGGCAGTGCATCAAACACTGGGAAAACCCGAGAGACCTTCATGGATCCCAATGGCCTGGCCAAGGGCAAGACCGGACCGGAGGAGGAGAAGAACGCTCAGTTCTGGTACGACCTCGCCCACGAAGAGATTGCCAAACGTCTGGAGCTGCCACAGGTAGACAAACGCAAGGCCAAGAATGTGATCATGTTCCTGGGAGACGGCATGTCCCTGTCCACGGTGGCTGCTGCTCGCATACACAAGGGTCAACTTAAGGGTAATCCCGGCGAGGAGGACTCCCTCAGCTTTGAGAAGTTCCCCCACTCCGGCTTAAGCAGGGTGAGTACTGGGGAACTCAGTGATGTGCAATGTTCTTACTGAGGTAATCTTCCTTCTCGTAGACGTACTGCTCCAACGCCCAGGTTCCAGACTCCGCCTGCACGGCCACCGCTTACTTGTGCGGAGTCAAGACCAATATAGTGGCTCTGGGCGTCACCTCAGCCGTTAACTTTAACAACTGCAGCGGCAGCGAGGATCCAGCCAATCAGATTAGTTCCATTGCCGCCTGGGCCCAGGCGGCCGGAAAGGGAAGCGGCATTGTGACCACCACCACCCTGACCCACGCCAGTCCCTCGGGCGCTTATGCCCACAGCACAAATCGCTTTTTCGAAGCCGACACGGACATCATTACCTATGGCGAGGGCTTGAACGATCCGGCCACCTGTACGGATATCGCCACGCAGTTGATCACCAAGGATCCGGGCAAGAACTTCGACGTGATGCTGGGCGGAGGGATCGGAAAATTCCTGCCCAAAACGATCACGGATCCCTTTAACAAGCAGGGCGAACGGTCGGACGGAGTGAATCTTCTCTCAAAATGGCAGTCCCTCCATCCCGGCGGCGTCCTGGCCTACAATCGCGACCAGCTGCTTAGAGTGAATGCCTCAGGCATCACCAACCTCATTGGAACCTTCGGCTCGGGAGTTATGAATTTCCACAAGATGGCCGATGCAGCCACGCAGCCCACCCTTGCGGAAATGACGCGCAAGGCCATCGAGGTGGTCAGCAAGAACGTCAAGGGCTACTTCCTGTTTGTCGAGGGTGGACTCATTGACTATGGAAACCACTACAACGTGCCCGTCTACGCCCTGGACGAGACTCTGGAGCTGTCCAACGCCGTGGACGAGGCAATCGACATGACCAATCCCGACGAGACACTGATCGTGGTCACTTCCGACCATGCCCATCCCCTCACCATCGCCGGCTATCCTGGTCGTGGTACTCCCATCCTTGGTCTCAACCAGCACGACACCGATGTAAATGGCGTAAAGTATGCCACACTCAACTATGCGGTGGGCTTGGAGCAGTACCTGGACGAGCATGGCAACCGCATCGACCTGACCGATAAGATCGACCAGCCAGGCTTCTTGGCACCCAGTTACATCAAGGGTTACATTGGCGTTCATGCTGGCGAGGATGTGGGCATCTTTGCCACCGGGCCCCAGAGCCATCTCTTCAGCGGTGTCATGCAGCAAAGCACCATTCCTCACCTGATGGCCTATGCCTCCTGCATTGGCGATGGCCCCACTCTTTGCGACAATGATAACTAATTATTGAGATTTATATAATATAATAAAGTGCGTTTTTCAAAAGTACACTTGTATCTTAAGCTTGAGGCCCATTTAATCAAGGCTTGAAGATCTAGCCTTCTCCCTGGCGTTTCTTCTTATTTCCGAGGAAAGTTTGTGTCTCAAAGTAGCCGCTTTGATTATTGGGATTCTTTTGTTTGCAGTTCGATTGAAATCAGTAATTAAATTGACTTTACTCGTTTTATTTATTGCATTTATCCCAGTGCAGTCCCAGTGACTGGCCAAGTCCCAGACTGTCTGCCTGCCAATGCAAATGGTCGAAGAAAAATTGACTTTAATTAAAAACGCATCAGCACAGACGCATTTACAGATACAATTTGTCTTGAGCACGAGTCGTGCGATCGCATCGATTGGAGTGCTGTCACTTGCCGCGAGGAGGAGAAGAACAAATATACATATTCGCGTTGAATGTCAGGTTCAAGCATTGGCATTGCCGCCAGATGGGGATCTCCGTAGATCTATCTGTAGAGGCACCCACGCGCATTCGGAGCAGCTCCTTCTCTCTCGCTGACTTTGACTTGTAATTGTGTGTTTCTTTACGAGTATTTATTCATTCATGCAAACAGAATTCATTCGAATGCGCTTGACATGAAATGAGGCGCGACAGAGACAAACACAGAGTCAGACAATTAAAGTTAATTTTTCTCTCAGCCATTGCAATTAAGGATCGTTTTGCCAAGGCAGTGTCCTTGCTTTGCGGCGTGCTCTCGCTCCCTCATTAGCATCCAAATCGATTGAGTTGGAGTCTGGTTCACAGTCTCGTGCCTTGTCCTCGTTGCTGGCCCTGTTTTTTCGGTGGGTTCTTTATTGGAAGTTTGCCCGAAACGCTGCAAAAATGTGTCTGTTAAACATTTCGCTGGCTCAGCGGAAAGTGGAAGCCGTCCGAAGTTCGTGGCAATCGGATATCTCCGGTCGGCTGTCGGAGTAGTAGTCGCTGTGGCCGTTGCCGTCGCCATCGCCGTCGTTTCTCCACTAGCTGTTGTCCCCCGTTCACTCTCGGTCGGATCGGTCGGCTCAGTCGGCTCAGAGTCTCAGTCTCAGTCCGATTCCCAAATCTGTCGCGACAGCAATCGCGCGTGCGGCTTGGGCCTTAACATTTCTGTGCTAATGCTAATTTTTCCTGACTGCAGTTTTGTATCTCTCAGTGACAGTCAGAGACTGTGAGTGTGTGTATCTGAGCTGAACTAGTGCTGCTTCCAGCTAATTGAAGTTTCATTCGGTGGCGCAATTGTCGGTGACAGGTGAGAATGGTCAATAATCAATGGATGGATCTAGATTCGGCCTGTTCTGATCTGATCCGATCTGATCTAGAGCACGAGTGTTGAGCATAGTAATTGTAATTGAATGCGGGAAACCGATATCTTGGCTCTGCGGTTTTCCCGCAAAAAGATGCCTATTACAGTCAGTCAGTGATGAAAAGGTGAGGCGCTAAGATAGGAATTTGCTTGACAGATATCCAGTTCCCACTTGCTAGTTTATCAGACGCCCCGAACAAGCAAACAGTAAGCCCCCAATTGGTGGCGTTAAAAATGCAAGAGTCGAGTAATTAGCTTAACACTTTATGACTGAAACGAATGCCTCCCTTCTCTGTGGGTTCCTGTTGAAGTAAAACAAACTTTATGGTAGATAAAGCGCTGTCAAAGTGAATCCCCAGCTTATTCCTAATGCAGCTAACCAAATTCCTTTCGCTTCTTCTGTAGATTTTCTCTCTCCTTAAAACTCTTTGGTAATGCGGTTAGGCATTTATCTGCAATCTGAGGAAAACTTGCATTTTTCATAGGACGCACTAGAAAGTTACTATCCATCGCTGTGCTACTTTAAAGTGAAGCAAAGATCCAGGCTGCCAAAGTGCTGATGGCATTTCGTGGGTGCAGATGCCTTCACCCCGATACGGGGAGATTTCCAAGCGGAGCCAAGTCACGGCATGCCAAATCCCAGCCAACACGATGCATTTCACCCAAAAAGCAGCCACGAGTGCGAATCCATCATCGGGCGGGAACGGGGGGGCCACTACTCGGAGGAGGCAGAGATGGCTATGTATATCTGGCGGTGTTTGTATCTCGGTTCAATTGTTTGCTATGTAAATAGGCAGCTGGAAGATAGCGGCTTGTGTTCGACGTGTAGCTGAAATTCTTTCGCCTTCCCTATCTGCGCAATGCACATGTGCTTTGAGTTTATGTTTATTTTGATCCGTTGACCGTGAACTTGAACGAGTGCTGATGATGCGGATACCAATGGGATTTGATGCGAACTTTTAAATGCGCTCTCCATCCAAGAAATGTATATGATATAGCTGCGCATATCATGTTGATCGGTTATGAATACTCTTATGTAAATGTGTAGCCCATCTTGTTCCTAAGGTTAACCAGAATTCGACCGAGCAGGAAGAGCAGTCACGACTCTTAAGCGTTAGTCAAGCAATCTGTAACACAACACCGATGGCAGGCAGAGAGTATCTTTGCATCCATTAATCCCATAAATTTGGTTAGTTTTTCTTCTTTGTTCGACAAAAACACGCAATCAGCGCTCGGGCCGATCCAGTTCCGGCACTTGCCTTGCCCTCCCCCTGGCAAACAGGCAGACAAACACACACACACACACACACACACACACACTCACCTCACGAAGGTGAGTGAGTGAGTGAATGAGCGTGGCATGGTGGCTACTGGTCTTGTCCAGGTGATGTCATATCCATGTCTCTAAGCGGGGATGGGACTGGCGTCTATCTTTGTGGGGTTGGCGGGTCATTGGACAGCTGTGGAGCACGTTAAAGCCCAGTTTCTCTCAAGTTAAACCTCTTAAGTTCCTACACAAAACTGTACACTTTGTGAAGCCTTTGCCAAACTTTCGATTGTTGTGTCGCGGCGTCTCAGGTTATCTAATTAGCATTAACATAATTCCCAAAGATTTTACGACTGGTGTAGATCTTCTCCCACTCCCCCAACCTGATAAATTTTGATCAAATTCAACAATAGCTTTTGGAGAATTTACATAATCAGCTTGCCACAGAAAGTTCAGCGCCAGATCAATAAGCTGCCTTTAGCCTTAAGCCTTTAGCATAGAGTGGCCACTGTGGCGGGGAACGTGACGTTGTCATTAGGCACAGCGCCATTTAAATGGATTGTGTTCTCTGAAACGATACTCAATATGCGGCAATTAAAATGTAAATTGCATCACAAGCAGTTTACACTCCGTCCTCAGACAGTCGTCACCCCGCGGACTGCTCCGTCATCGTTTTGAAATATGGCTCATACGCACTGTTAGGCGAGATCTCTCGGCATTTAAGGTTATTTGCCACGATTGAGTACGAGTCGAGTGTAGTGGAAAAATATGTTAAATGCACATTTATTTATTTATTCGCAACTGACACGCTCATGGAATTGCTAGCTCGAGCTTAGCATATTTTCGTGATTGATTCAAAATTATTATTGCGATCAAAATTATTACAATCGCGACTGTGAATCGACGGGGGTGTGGGGGGCCACTGTCCGCAACACACCCATGCCAATACACTCTGACCTTTCTCCAGTGATGGAATGTATCTCTGTGAAACACGATCTTCCTTGGATGCATTCAAAGTTGATTTATTGAGTTCCATTCAATCAGAGCCCGTCCAATCTCCGGCTCAATGGCGCTAAATGCTAAATGCACTTAGCAATCCGGCGGCTGTCAGCAACGCGTTGACAAATGACGTCACCACTGATTATCCGAGCCGCTCTACTCCGCTCCGCTCCGCTCCATTGACAGTGCGAATCCCACTGACGTCACAGCACTCTTGGCGCTGTTTGCCCGCGGTGTTTGCTTTTCTCACTCTACCGGATTGGGCATTGTCCCGACATTTCTGGCACATTAGCAGTTCGCACCTCACCAAGCGGTAAATGTGCGCCCTAGCCCCCTAGCAAGCCGCGATCGGAGGGCGACTCTGTTGTCACTTTAATTATGCAACGAATGCTAATTGAACTTGCAGCAGGTGAAGCCCCCAGTCGGTCAAATAGATAGATCGATCGATAGATAGTCTGATTAAAGCCATACAAGTTCATGAATGAATAGGCCAAATGGGGTGGGACTTGTTTGTCCGCCACTCTGCCTGTCAGCGCGATAAGAGCGACAAGCAAAGGCTAGCCAAGCCATGAGATACTTTCCGCTTAAGTACTCAACTCAGTTTTCATGTAAATATTGTTTGAGCAAATATTCCCCCAATTTGGGCTTTCTGAACAATTAATTTATGATGACATATCAACCATTCACATGACACAAACTTTTCGGGCTAACTGCGCAAAATAATGGAATAAAAATGAACTAAAGAACAATTGCGGCGACATTGTTGGGCTCTGCCGAAGCTCTACCCCCAAAGAGGTAGTCATTGGGGGCGCGTCATATCTATATCCGAGCATGTATGTACATTTGTATCTGAATAGCATCGGAATGAATCAACTGAAAATATCCATTTTTTTCTATTTCGGGGCAATACAATACACATTAACACCGATGAGCGAATGCCTTGTCATGCCGTGCAGACGTTGACACGGACTACGAGTGTCACTGACATTGGATGAGGCCGCAATTAAATCGTATCCACGAATCAACAGTCACTGCCACAGGCACAGGCCCAAACACATTTGTATCTATCGCACGCCAAATGATTCGCATTTGGCATTGACAATGACTTTCGGGCCGAAATGATCCCACGAAAAATATCAAGAAATCTTTTCTCTGAGTGTTTGGGAGAGTTTTCTATGGGTAGCACCGGCTGGTTTTAGGGGATGCACGCTAGGTCTAGGCCATCTAGGTGAACAGTCAGATGGAAACCTTTCTAAATTTATATATCAGTGCATCTGGCAAAAAGTAAAAGTAATTTCTTCAAATATACGGCATTTCTGGCGAACATTTGGCAGATTCGGAAACATTTTGTTAGCTTTTGGTTTGTTGATCTACGAGTAGCACATGATATTTGCCATTGC